AAGAAGATATTTAACAGATATATAAATATATATATATATATATATATATATATATATATAGGCACCCCTATATCTCTCCCTATTTGTATATATATATATATTTGCCTGTGTCCTTTCAATGAACCCTGGAGGGAAATGACACCGCCTCAGCAGGCACTGAGCCTTTCTACCTCTGGGCACTATGGACAAGAAGAGCTTCAACTGAGTGTACAACAAGGGAGAGATCTTGGGGAGCCATTTAGAATTCTCTCCACCACCCGCGGTATTCGACCTTCATTTCAAGAGATAACACAAAGCCTGGAGAAGTCTCAAGGTCTCTCTCAGAGTAGCCCTGTACCTGAATGTACATGGTACTGAACTCTTCATAGAACATCACCAGAAAATCAAACAAGAAATCTAAACAAAGGGAGTACTATTCAGCTGTAAAGAAGAATGAAATCCTGTCATCTGCAGCAGCATGGATGGAACTGGAAGATATCAAGTTACATGAAATAAGCCAGACACAGAAAGAGAGTGCATCCTGTTCTCAGGTGGAAGATAAACAAAGTAGACCTGAATGTAGAATAGTGACCTCTAGGCACTGGGAAGGAGGTAGGTGGATAAAGAGAGGATTGGTTTTATCAGGCACCTTGTATGCATGTGTGAAAATATCACACTGAATGCACACAATTAATGCAGGTTGATCAAAGATAAATATATATATATTAAAAAGATACCTAAACCAAGTTATGCAGGGGAAGGGGAAATAGGATTTGTGCAAAAAAAAAAAAAAAAAAACAATGTAAAGAGAAAGATATAAAAGCAGATGAGAGCTATCAGAAGGAAAGTTATAGAGAATCCAGTTTTAATGTGAAATATTATTTCTAGTCTGTTTTTTTTTTTAAAAGAGAGAGAATTTTTTAATATTTATTTTTTAGTTTTCGGGGACACAACATCTTTGTTTGTATGTGGTGCTGAGGATCGAACCCAGTGCCCTGCACATGCCAGGCGAGCGCTTTACCGCTTGAGCCACATCCCCAGCCCTCTAGTCTGTTTTATAAAGCTTAATGTGACATTGAGTTCTTGCTTAAGATGGTGAAAGATCTTCCAGGAACTGTTTTCCTCAACTTTGCATTTCAAATTTTGTTTTGCTACTTAGACTTTTGCAACTTTTTTCTTAGGGTCAAAAGTGTACCTACTCCATCCATCTTCCCTCCCTCCAAGTAGTGCTTGCAGTGTGATCCCAGTGAATTACAGAGAACTGCGGGGTGGGGTGGGGGGTGGCCCAAGATCGATTATGGTCAATGTGCGACGAGATGTGGAAGGACATCTTATGTTAGTCATTGTAATTTGCAGATTACTGTCCTGCCTCATGTGTCCGACATAAGGACAATCAGATCTGAGACTCTCTGAAGAGGCCCAGGCTTCACACTTAGTTAATTCTAGAACGGCATGCACTAGAACCACCAACTGCAATAGATTCACACTCAGAATGTCTTGAATGTCTTGAAAACAGTAAGACATATTAAGTGGTTGCAAAGATTCTGGTTTAGGAAACTTTGGTTTAGATACTTCTAAGGCTCATTACTTGGGGGTGGCTTGTTTTTTTCCGCTTTTTGGGAGAATTACTCTCTCAAGATTTTGTTCTTCATATTTTTGGTTCAAGGCAGAATCCATAGTTCAAATTATTAAAAATGACTCAGTAAGATGTTCTTTTTCTTTTAGTTTTTTAATATGGATCAAGGGCCATTTATCTGTAAGTACTATGGACTGAGCAACTAGGTATCAAAACCAAACCCCACGGACATTGCTTGGAACAAGACAGCTCACAAGATATCAAAGGTGTATCTCCATGAAGGCCCAACATATAAAGGGGTGGGATGAACCACAGAACGCTATGAGGCTTTCGAGCTATCAGCCTGTGCAGGTAGGAACAGGGAATAGAGCTACACTTTCCATGCACCTGAAGACAGGAGACCTGAAAGCATCAGATTGCCCCAGGTTGGAGAACCAATGAGGACGGGTTGGCCCCAGGCAATAGTGAGCACGTAGAGGGGCCAGGGCCAGACCTGCCTACAGCCAACCCTCCTTCCAGGCCCCTCACAGAGGGGAGACTCCCAGGAGGGAATAAGAACCCCCACAGAGTGTACCAGAGAAATGCAGGAAAGAGAAAGTGCAGACAAGTGCAGACAAAGTGGGAAAGGAGACTTCAGAGAGCCTCTGTGTGTTGGCACCCTGCGGAGAAGAGCAGAAAGGTCTGCAAGTTTGTATCCCCCAAAATTCACACGATAAATACAGTCACCAAAGTGATAGGATTAGGAGATGGGATGCTTAGGAAGGGATTGGAGCACAGGGGAGCCCATGGGATTGGGATAGGAGGGCATTCTGTAATCCCAGAGGCTGAGGCAGGAGGGTACAAGTTTAAGGCCAGCCTGGGCAACTCAGACCCTGCCTCAAAATAAAGAAGGAAGAAAGGCTGGGGATGTTGCACAGTGGTAGAGTGTTTGCCCATCCCCAGTATCACAAAAAAATAAAAATAAAAAATTCCCCAGAGAGTTCCTTAGCCTCTACCATAAAGGCATGGCAGGAGAGTTTTATGGAAGTCCCTGGGAGGGGGCCCAGCCCTAGTGGTCCCAACAGACCAGGCTCCACCACCAACCCCGATGTGCCAGTCAGAGGGCGGAGCAGTGGTGAAGGGCAGGAAAGGAGATGTATTCCGTGTGGCCACACTGAGAAGAAAGATGCAGGGGACAGTGACCAAAGGTCTGTCTTCAAGGGACTGACAGACACTTAGAAGTTTTCTAGAAAAGGGGGCACAGACCATGGCAAGGAGAACACTTTGCAGCAGGGCTGCCTTGCTGGCAGTCAGCTGTGCTGGCCAGGCGTGCCCTGGGGGCCCATCTAGACAGTCTTTGGTCCTGTCATGAGGTCACTGCTCCTGCGTAAGGGGCAGCCTCACTTCCCCCAGGGATGACAGTGCCTGCTGAGGGGACAGTCTCCTTGTGGGGTCATCTGTCCTGTGGGGCTCCCAGCTCTGGGGGCTGGGCTCAGTACCTGGTCAAAAAGATGCTTATCAATCAGGCCTACTGTTCCTGGAATTCAAGGTAACTGCAAAAGAAAGTGGTTCAAAGGAAAGTAAAAGTAAAGAGGCGAATGGAATCAGAGGGTCAGAATAAAGTTGGTGAGGTCAGCAACTGGGCCTCCTTCACAGGTACCATCTGTGCAACAGAAACCAGGCCCTCACCAGACCCCGAATCTGCTGGCACCTTGATCTTGGGCTTCCACCCTAAAGAACTGTGAGAGGTAAGTGTCCATTGTTCATAAACCACCCAGACTATAGCATTTTGA